TGAGTTCTCTCCGTCTTAAAGAAGAGGCAATCTTAGAATTCTTCAAATAAGACACCCCAGATTAGTAATATTAGTACAGAATTAACAACAAAAATCCAGTCATTAAAATCCTGAAAATTACTAAACTAACAAATTTCTATGATTTGCTCCTCTAGTCCCTTTTCCCCAGAGAATCTGCTGAATCCTCTCTGTGGTAGATGAGGATTTAGTGAACAATCACCGCTTCATCTTATGTATTTTAGTTTGCATTTCTAGTGTTCTCCATAGTTTAATGGAACATCCTGACAAAACTGTTGTTTTTTGTGAAACTTATTTTTCCTTAGCTGGGCATGTGTGGTGGCACATTCCTTCCATCCAGAACTTAGAGAGGCTGGTCTTAGTGAGTATCAGACCAACATGATCTACATACTAAGTTTCATGCCAACTAGAACTATAAAGGGAGATCTTGTTTTAATCGCTCCCAGTCCCAAAATCTCTGGCTTAATTATTGTTCTTGTTTTTAATGGTATATAGCCAAGGCTAGCCTTGAGCTCACTATGTTACTAAGAACAACCTTGAACTTCTTATCCTGATACACTATAACATGTGGATTATGTGGTGTTGAGAATAGAAACAAGCGATTTGGGGATGGTTGGCTTGCCTCTACCAATTGAAATCTATCCACAGCAATGCCTTTACTTAGTAAGCTATTTAGTAACAAATAAAGACTGTACTTTGAGAGTACAGTTTGACATTTAATATTTATATACACCGTGATTGCCGCAATCAAGCTAATTAGCATGATTTTTGCTTCACATGCTTATTATTTTTTCCTATTCATTCTTCAATTTATACATAACTGATGGCACTTTTATCTTCTGTGTAGGCAGTATTTTTCATCTTCCTGCTTAGAAAAACATAATAAAAGTTTTTTTCTGCTGACTCCCTACTTTTATTTCATAACTGCTTTTATTGGAGACTATAGGGTCAAATCTGGACAACACATAGATTTTATTGTGTGTGATAGTGTTACATTCTGACAGGGTCCATACACCTCTTGGCCTGCCTGTGAAGGGTTGTCTTTGTTATGCTCTTTCCTATGAGAAGACTCTTCTTGACTGGAGAGAGGGCTAGCCCCTTGACAGGAGACCCTGGACTGTGCAAAGTGGAGAAAAGCCAAACACTAGGAATGGCACTCATTGCTCTCTGTTTCCTGTGATTGCAATATGAGAAGCTGCTTCAAGCTCCTGCTGCACTTCTTTCACTGTCATGGAGTATTTTAAATTGTAATACAGAATAAATAAAATCCCTTATATAAATAATCTGAGCTTTTTCCTTGTGAAATTGGTTTACTATAACTTTAGCCCTTTGAAAAACACAGGATTATCTCTTTTCCTAATTAATTTAAGATTGTGTTAAAATGTATGTCATAGGTCTGAATCATTGATAAGGCTACATTTATCTTTTAATCTATGCTTTAATTTTTAAAGATTTAGAAGAAAATCACAATATAAAAAAATTCTTTGTTTGCAGGTGTATTTCTGTACAAGATTAAGTGGCTAGCATGCAAGACACCTGGTTTCAATCCCAAGAATGGAGAATGAATATATATATATATATATATATATATATATATATATATATATATGTTCAATGTTTTTTTCTACTATTTGTGATTTTCCATCTTAAGATACCTTCTACCCAGGGTTATAGAGTGCTGTCCCATTCTTTCTTCTGAAGACCTTAAAGCTTTGTATTCTGAACTCTTTCCTTTACCTATAAGAAACTGATTTTTTTGTTAGAACTGGGGTAGACATGCATTGTGCACACACACACAGACATGCACACAAGGACACACAAAACATGGGATGCACACACATATATATACACACATAGGGCATATGTGTATACATGTATACACACACACACACACACACACACACACACACACACACACACACACACCCCTCAGTACCACTTACAGAAGCATTTTGCTGTCTTTTATTGTATAAATTACTTCTTATAGCAAATAGCCTTTCATAAGTACTGGAGACCTCTTCTTTTGTCCTCTCTTTTCTACTCTATTGAACTGTTTATGCCTAATTATTTGGCAAAGTGTCAGCCTTCCCTGAGCATACTCCCTCCTCTCATCTTTTAATATTTTATGATGCACTTCAGTTAAGGTGTATTGGTTATAAGTTTATACTCACTAATTACAAATTGTGATTCCTCTCTAAATAGTAAAACCATATGTAAGTGTTTCAAGTGATACAGGTTGTGTCTAACATACCTTTATATTGACTAAATTAATGTATTTCAATATTTAAAACTTATTGTTTTAGCCAAGTGAAGAGTCATTGCTCCTACTTCATCCTAGGGTCATTTAAATGCATGCCACCCAAGTGCCAGCATGGTCATCAGCACAAGAAGTGCAGAACTTAACTGTCTCCAGGCACATTTTCTCATACAAATCGCTTTTAATAAGCTTTTAATAATAAACTACAGTTAGCTAGAATCAGGTTTTTTTTTCCTGATATGCTATTGGATAAGGCCTGGGAGAAGAGGAGTCAGAATTTCATTTATCTATAAGTAGATGAGAGAATTTGCTTCATATGTCAAAGTTAAAGGAGTTCATACATGAAGTTCTGGGGATAAAGTTTAGATGTTGAACACTAATTATTATTGTAAAATTATTACTGACTTTAATGTTGTGGGATATATTTTTGAGTATATAATTTTTTTCTTGGTTTCTATAAGTAACAACACATTGAAAAAACAAATTTGTATCTTTTTTTCATTCTATCTGATAAAATACCAAAGGCACATCTTGTTTTTTAAAGCTTTTCCCTTAATGACAGATTTAATGGTTCTGGTAAACACATATCTTCTATGGGATACAAGCACATAACCAGAATCATTAGTTGTTTCCTGGACATATAACTTCTGAATATATTTTTAGAATGCAAAAAAAAATGAAATAAGGTTTCATTTATTCCAAGGTTTAAAATATGTTCATGTGAAAATTTATGTATATAAGCTGAAAAGCTTGAGCTCATAAAACAATTTTAAAAAGTATTTTCAACACAAGTCAATCTTTTGAGGAAAATAATCTCTCAGAAGTCCTTCAGCTTAGCTCTTTTATTAAAGACATAATAATGTTGTCTTCAGAGAAGTAGGTGATGCTGGCATACATACACACTCACAAATGTAACATGACTCATTATGTAGTCTGATCTGGTTATGATCTCACTATGTAGCTGGGCAGGTCCTTAAACTCCTGATCCTCTTGCCTCTGTCTCCAAAATGCTGGGATTCTAGCATGTGCTAATACTTAGATTAAAAAAAAAGTTTTATGAACAAGAATTTTAAAATGGACTTATTTTGTTTCTGTTTTTAAACCTCTGTTAACCTCTATCATGGGTTTTATCAAACATATCTCAATTTTGTATTTAGCTCATGGACTGAAACCATACAAGTACCCTGACTAGAGAAAATGGTTATGCCTATACCTGTATCTTGAAAACAAATGCTGAAGATGAACATGCCAAGTTGCAGAGAAAGGAGTGTATCTGTGCTATAAATGGAATTTAAACCAGGTTTGCATAACTAATGGGTTACTCACATTTCGTGAGTGGAAACGGACAAATGTGCATGCTAAAATGAAGACATGGATGTCTCTAGACGACTGCCAACAACTCCTTTTCTGAGACCTGTATCATGCGCTTTTAAATCTGTCTTCTTACTATTGCAACAAAGTCGGTGCTGTGAGTCACTGCATTTCATCTCCTCAGCTAGGTAAACAGAGTCCTGCCCCAGAACATACTAAATTAACAGAAAGGATCAGGAAGCTCTTTACTGCCAACATTGGCTTTTATGCATCTAGCTAAGAGTCATGTACCTAGCTGAATATAAAGACAATTTGAAAAAAATACAGGTAACACACAAAGCTAAAAAGACATAAATAAAAAGGGTGGACTGGTAACAATCTTTATTCTTCAGTCGATTCTTCTTCCCAAGTTAGTTTTAATTGGTGTTACTTGACCTAAATGGGCCAAACACAATATTGCCAAAAAAAAAAAAAAAAAAAAAAGTCTGTCAGGCTAGTCTATGAAGTTCACAGGAAATGTGGGGAAGGTGTTCCTAGACCATGGAGACATCAGGAAATCCACTGAGCAATGTAAGCCAGTATCAAAGCCACTACACCACAGAGCGTTTACTGACCACAATGTAAATGATTATGGTAATACCGCGGGTAAAATGCCCAGTCACAGACATAAAATTGCCCTTCCTCACTCCATGTTTGTGTTGTAGGAAGGCATGGGCATCCCAGAGGTAAAGTCCACTAATTTTGAGCTTGAATCTTAGCCTATTGAGATACATAAACTGTTTATTCACTCCTTCCAAATACTATTCTAACTATGTGAACAAATTTCCTTCTTTTCAAATTTCAAATAACACTTATCTACGTGAAAATAACATTTTATGATTCACAGAGAAATTGAAAGCCATTTGATGTGATTCCTTCAGCTTCTGATACAAATTACATGACTCTGTCCCAGCACTTTACCTTTTCCCCTTACCAAAGGCCCACCATTCCACATAGTCTTTGGATATAAATTTCTTTCCTCTTTGTCTTTGGGACTTTATGTCACTACTTAGTCTATGTGTTATAAACTCAACCAAAAGGTAAATCCATGAAGACAGGTCCTGTGCCCATCCTTTCGATGCTACATAGTGTTATCAGTATTGTTTGTTGAGCCCATGGATACACAAGTGAATTGGAGCTGAAAAACATGAATGATCTGTGAGTGCTTTTCCATTTCTAGAGTTCTGAAATGACTTTGGAAAGATAGGGTACAAAAGTGAGTCTCTGATTGAAGACTGGATGCATTATCTAATTTCACGAGTACTTCTTTACATAAACACAATTTTTCTTTATCATTAGCTTTATTTTGGATGAACTTTCTTTAAAATTTGAGCCTAAAGGTGAATTAAATGAAACAGAAAATGACAATGCTTACTCTTCTTTCCATCCATGTCGGCATGGATTTTGCGAGCCAAAAATCCACTTTTGTATACAGCAGCATTTGGATCATGAGGAATGTCTAAAAATGGATTAGTTGTACTCCCAATACGACTGATAGTCTTTGGGTGTGTTCCATTAGCCTTCTCATCAGTACCTTCTGAGGGAGATTTTTTTTTCTCTTCATCATCTCTGTAAGAGAAAAAAAGACAAAGTCTGAGACAAGGACTTACCATAACTTGGAATGAACAAAGTTATTTAGTGTCATAGACTCTTCTGTTTTCTAATAGTCCATCATAGTTCATAAGAACCACCATGACTGTCAGGAAGACTATGAAAATACTAAATGTAATAATAATAGGAATAAAGGAAAGGAAACATAGGTCAAAGACAGAGAATATTTTTAACAAAAAAAAATCACAAAAGAAAATTTTCCTAACCAAAAGGAGAAGTAGCCCAAAGGTACAAGAAGCATATAGAACACCAAATAGACTGAACTAGAAAAGAAAGTCCTCCAGTATATAATAATCAAAACAGTAAATGTACAGAACAAAGAAAGAATATTAAAAAACTGCAAGGGGAGAAGCTCAAGCAATATATGAAGAGAAACCTATTAGAATAACACTTGGCAACTCAATAGAGATTTTTTAAAGCCAGAAGGGTCTAGACAGATGTTCTACAGAATCTCAGACACATCAGCTGTCAGCCCAGACTATTATATTCAATCAGCAAAATTTTCAGTAAGAATAGATGAGAAAAATAGACCTTCTATGATAAAACCAAATTTAAGGAATGTCTATTTACATATACAGCTCTCCAGAAGATGTTGGAAGGAAAACTCCAATCTAAAGAGGTTAATCACAACAAAGAAAACACAAGGATTCAATTGTCACAGGCCAGAAAATCAAAAGAGGGGAAACACACAAACACACACACACACACAGTACCTCAACATCAACAACAAAATAACAGTATTCAACAAACATTGTTCATTGATACTTCTCAACATCAAAATTACATTTGCCAAATAAAGACACAGACTAACTATATGGATGCAAAAATAGTATCCATCCTTCTGAATCCAAACAGCACACCTTAATATCAAGGATAGAAATCACCCAAGGATGAAAGGATAGAAAAGGGTATTCCAAGGAAATGGACCTAAAAAGCAAGCTGGTGTAGTCATTTTAATATCCGACAAAATAGGCTTCAAACCAAATGAATCAAAAGTGATAGGGAAGGAAGGATATTACATACTCATCAAAGAAGAAAACTCACCAAGAGGACATTGCCATTCTTAATATCTACACGCAAGCATAAGGACACCCAAGTTTGTAAAAGGAACACTACTATTGCTTAAATCATATATGAACCTCATACACTGATAGTGGGAGACTTTAATATGTCACTCTTACCAAAAAACAGGACAGCCACACAAAAACTCAACAGACAGACGCTGAAGCTAAATGGTATTATAAACCAAATGGATTTGACAGGTATTTACAGAACATTCCCTCCCCCCAAAACCAAAAACACAAAAAAACAGAAAAAACAAAAACTTCTCCACATTGCATGGACCTCTTTCCAAGTTCGCCATATACTTAGACACAAAACAAAGCTTAACATATGTAAGAACATTGAAATAATACTTTGCATCCTATCTGACCACAACAGATTAAAGCTTGATATCAGTAACAGCAGAGGCAACAGAAAGCTTAGACTCCTTATGGAAACTAAACACCTGTCAAGACAGAAATTAAGAAAAAAAATAAACTTTCTAGAACTGAATGAAAATGAATATACAACATATCCCAACTTTTGGGAAACAATAAAGGCAGTTTGAAGAGGCAAGTTCATAGCACCAAGTGAATACATGAAGTAGTGCAGAGATCTCATACTAGTCATTTAACAGCACACTTGAAGGCTAAAAGAAGAATTCATACCCAAAAGCACAAGACAGCAACAATAAACACAGGGCTGAAATCAATAAAATAGAAATAAACAATCCAAAATAAACACAATGTAACAAAGAGTTGTTTTTTTGAAAAAGTCAGTAAGTCTGACAAACCCTTATCTAAGTTAACTAAAATGTATAGAGAAAATATCCTAATTAACAAACTTAGAAATGAAAGGTGGGGGTGTAAAACAACAGACTCAGATGACATCTAGGGAATCAGAACAACATATTTTAAAAGCCTGTACTTCACCAAATTGGAAAATATAAAAGAAATTGATAATTTTTTGACACATATCAATTACTAAGTTAAATCAGGATCAGATAAGCAATTTAAAAAGACTCATAACCCCTAGTAAAATAGAAGCAGTAATTAGAAGTCTCCCAACGAAAACCAAACCAAACCAAACAACAACAACGAACTCCACAGATATAAACTATCAGGGCTACCTGGTTGTAGCACAGAATTCTATCAGACTTTCAAGGAATAATTAATGCCAATACTCAAATTATCCCACAAAATAGGGACAGAAGAAACATTGCCCGATTCGTTTTATGAGGCTACAGTTATACTGATATCAAAACCACACAAAGACCTAATATAGATGCATAAGTTATCAACAAAATATAGAATCTAAGAACACATAATAAAGATTATTCACCATGATCAAGTAAGCTGCACCCCAAAGATGCAGGGATGGTTTGACATGCAAATCAATCAATGTAACCCAACATATAAACAAACGAAGGCAAAACCCACATGATCAGATCATCTCATACAGAAAAGGCCTTTAACATAATGCAACACATTTCATGATAGAATCTTGGGGAGATTAGGGATACAAAGGATAATAAGGGCAATTTACAGGAGCCACATAGACAAAACCAACTTAAATGGAGCAAAATTCAAAGCAATTCAACTATCATGAGGAATGAGACAAGGTTTCCCATTCTCTCCTTACCTATTCAATACAGTACTTAAGTCTTAGCTAAAGCAATAAGACAAGCTGAAGGAAATCAAGGGGATACAAATTAGAAATCAAGAAGTCAAAGTATTTTAATTTGTGGATATGATTGATACACACACACACATATACATACATATATGAACTAAAAAAATAGTAGCCCTCTGTATACAAATGACGATCAGATTGCAAAAGAAATCAAGGGACTATCTCCTTTCAAAATAGCCTCAGATAATATAAAACACCTTGGGGGTAATTCTAACCAAGCAAGTGAAACACTTGTATGATAAAACTTTCAAGTCACTGAAGGAAGAAATTGAAGAAGTTATCAGAAGATGGAGAGATCTCCCATGCTCATGGGTCAGCAGGATTCATATAGTAAAAATGACACACCCTACCAAAAACAACCTACACATTTACTTCAGTCCCCAACAAAATTCCTGCACAGTTCTTTACAGATCCTGAAAGGTGAATTTTCAGCTTTATATGGACAAAAAGTTTTTATATGGACAAAAGTTTTACAGATCCTGAAAGGTGAATTTTCAGCTTTATATGGACAAAAAGTTCTGGATAGCTGAAACAATCCAAAATAATAAAAGAACTGCTGGAGGTATCACCATTGCCAACCTCAAACTGAGAGCTATAGTACATTACTACAGTGCCATAGTAATAAAAACAGCATGGTATTGGCTAGAAACATGGTCCTCAATTGAATAGAATTAAAGATCCAAACAAATCCACATATGCACAGACACCAGAGTTTTGATAAACTAAACAGAAATACATAGCAGGAAAAAGGCATCTTCAATAAATGGCGGTAGTCAAACGGGTTGACTAGATTTGGAAGAATCCAAATATGTTCATACTTATCAGGTTGCACAAAATATCTCCAAATGGATCAGAGATCACAACATAAAATCAGATATCCTATATCTGACAGAAGAGAGAATAATAGGACATCTATTGGAACAAGAAAAGACTTTCTGAACAGAACAACATTAGCACAGGTACTAAGATCAACCCATAATATAACTGGGACCTCATGAAACTGAAAAGGTTTCTGTATGGCAAATGACCTAATTTTTCATACAAACTAGCAGTCTTCAGAGTGGGCACAGATTTTTACCAATTCAACATTCAACAGAGGTCTAATATCCAAAATATATAAAGAACTACAAAAACACTAGGCACCAGAAATACAAATAATCCAATTTAAAAATGGAGTATATATTTAAACAGTGAATTCTTAAAAGAAGAAAATCTAATGACTGAGAATAACTTTACAAATGTTCAATATCCTTATCAACATGGAAAGGCAAATTAAAGCTAATCTAAGATTTCATATTTCCTTTGTTACAATGGCTAAGATTTACAAAACAAGTGACATGCTGGCAAGGATGTGGATTAAGAGAAATACTTTTCCATCGCTGGTGAGAGCACACATGTTTACAGCTAATGGAAAAATCAGCATGGTGGTTCCTCAGGAAGATGGGAATCGATCTACCAAGATCTAGCTATATCACTCCTATCACTCATGGGTATCCTCTCAAGGATGCTTCGTATTACCTCAGCTGTACTTGCTCAACCATGTTCATCACTGCTCTATTCACAATAGCCAGAAACTGAAAATAACTCGAATGTTCCACAACAGAAGAATGGAGAAGGAAAATGTGTACATTTATGCAATGGCGTATTATTCAGCTGTTTAAAGAAACTGACACTGTGAAATTTGTCGGTAAATGGATAGAACTGATAAAGAAGAGGAGGGCGCAGAGGAGGAATGGGAAGAGGATGAGGAGGAGAAGGAGGAGAAGGAGAAGACGATGACAAATATGGCATGTTTCATTTTTATATTGATACTAGATGTTAAGTCCATGATAACTAAGTTACAATCCATTTAACCAGAGAAATTATACATAGAGAAAAGAAGTACAAAGGTGGGAGTAGAGATGAGGTACAGAGAGATCTCCCTAGGAAAGGGAAATAGAATAACTAGGTAGTTATGGGTGGATGGGTTAAGGACTGGAATAGGAAGACCAAATGGAGAGGTGGGGAGGTGAGGGAGAGGAGGGAGGGAATGTGGGGTGAGACAGATAAATTAAGGATCATTGGAGAAGTATTATGGGAAGCTAAGTTAGAAGCAGCTTCTTAAAATATATACATATATGAAGGCAATCTAAATGATATCACCAAACAATGAGGGAGAGAGAACCCAAACTGGCCATTTCTTTTCATCAAAAGAAGCTTCCACTATCAGAACTGGGTTATATCTA